GCCGCGCTGGCGGCCCCGCCCTCGTCCTCGACGAAGACGTAGATGGGGGCTATCCCGAGGCCCAGGTGCCAGCTGAGCCACGCCCCGAAGCACAAGGGACCCCGCGTCGTGCAAACAAGGCACACGCGCGGGGCCGCTTCCGCGGCGCGCCGCGGGCGCGCCACGCCGAAGCCCCCGCCGCCCAGCAGGTCGGCCTCGGCGCCCTCCGCCAGCTCCGCGCCCGCCTCCGCGGCCGCCTCCGCGGCGCGCCGAGGGGGCACCACGCCGAACGCCCCTCCGCGGAGCAGGCTGTTGGCGGCGAGCCGGGGGGGGGGGGGAAGTGAGAAGAACAAGGCCTTCTCAGAAGACTCGGAAGTCCCCCGGCCTCCTGAGAAGCGCCCTGAGCCTCCCCCGAGGACGCAGAAGACCTCTCGGAAGGCGCGAGAGCTTCTGAGAAGTCCCGCCGCCTTCTGAGAAGGCCTTCTCCTTCGCACTTCCCGCCCTCGCTCCCCGCCGGGGCTGGAGCTGGGGCCTGCCGCGGCCGCCTCCGCGGCCGCACCCGCCGCGGCGGCGTGCCCCAGCGGCGGGCGGCGGCCTGCCGCCGGGGCAGAGCCGAAGCCGCCGCCGTCGAGCAGCCTCAGCGCGCTGGGCGGCGACGGCGGCGCCTGCGGGGCGGCGAGGGCGGCCTCTGGCTTCTGCGAGCACCAGCTTCGATCGCGCTCGGCGCGGGACTCTATCCAGACCTAGGGGAACAGAGAACGGCATGAGCCTAGACTTTTGGAGGTCCGCGCGGGTTTCTTGGATCCGCGCCGGACCCCCTCCCTGGCGCGCGAAGCGCGCCAGGGGCGGCGCCAGACGCGCCGCCAGGGGAGCCCAGCGCAGATCCAAGACTCAAGACAGCCGCGCGGGCCGCTGAAAATGTATGTAAATCTCGTTTTTGTTCTTCGAAGACCGTAGCCGCGAGGCGCGCCCGGCGAGCCGGCAGCACCTCGTGGGGGACGGCGGCCGACTTGAAGAGCACCAGCGTGTCCAGCCGCGGCAGCACGTCCACGTGGCCCGCGCCCGCACCGAGGTGCAGCCGCAGCGCTCCCCCGTCCCCGTCGGCCCAGCCCTCGTTCGCGTAGTAGACGGCAGTGACGATGCGGCCGTTGCGGTTGGGGTTGTCCCGGTGCCGCTTGAAGCAGCCGCCCGGAGGAAACTCGGCGACCTGCACCCGCGAGGGGACGAGCTCGTCGCCCGCCAGCGCCACGACCCCCAGCGCGAGCACGGCACTCTGGACTCGGGCGCGTAGGAGCACGAGGGCCTCTGTGCCCCCGTCCTGATGGGTCTGTTTTCCACCACCACCACCACCACAAGTTGGAGGGGGGAAGGGGGTGAAAGACGAGGAGGAGGAAGAAGAGGAGGAGGAGGAGGAGGACCCCCCACCCCTCCAACTTGTGGCGGTGGTGGTGGTGGTGGAACACGGGCCCAGCACGTCCCCCTCGCCGAACCAGCCCGAGGCGTCGCCCCGCAGGTGGGCCGCGACCGACACGCCGCCGCCCGCGCTGCGCACCTCGCCGGCGGCGAGCGCCGGGCGCTTGGCCAGCGCCTCCGCCTGCACCCGCCGCGCCAGGGGCTCCCCCAGGAAGTGCCGGCGGAGGCAAGCGAGGGGAGGAGACGCAAGGTGAGGGTGCACGGTTTCCCCTGGGGCCGCACGCGACCCGAGGAGGAAGGGAGGAAGAGGAGAAGGAGGAGAGAGAGAGGAGGAGGAGGGAGGAGGAGGAGGAGGAGGATGAAGAGTAGGACGGGTACGCCTAAGTCTGGAGAAACCCTCCAAATCTGGGGGGGGGGGGGGGGGGGGGCCATGGGGCTGGCCTGACGGGGCCGTCCGAACAAAAAAAAACGGAGCCCCGTGTGACGTATGACACGAGCTCCCGCTGCAAACATCCCCACGAAGACTGGACCGTCAGGATCCAGGACGGGTACGTCAAAGAGCGTGTAGTCAGGCAAATCCGAGCTCCCGCGTGCTCGAGTCTTGCCACGCCTTGCCCGAAAGAGCGGGGAATGACCCAGGGCGGACATGCCACGCCTTCGCCCAGGAGCCTTGTCGAGGACGGGGGCGAGCGGAGCCATTGGAAACAGGCGGGGATACCCCCCCTGGGCTATCTCTGGACCTCCGACGTGGTGATATTTACTCCCGATGCGTGGGCCCACGCAGGTCGTCTGGACCACTCCCCCCGGGCCAGCTCCCCATCGATCGTGAGCTGTACAGAATGGCGACCCATGCCGAGGAACACCCTGCTTGCCTCCAGGGTGCCCGGGGTTTCTTGGGCCTCGATGGCTTTGCCGTGGAGAGCGTGACGTACCCACACCAGCAATCCATGGACGCCCTGGGGTCCCAGTGTTGGGGTCCTTGTGGGAGACTTCTGGTGGTCGAGCTCCGACGGTGCTCATCTGCCGACGGCCGTGGGGCCCGGCGAAAGCCACCCGCAGAGGCCGAAGGTGTCCAGAAAACGTCCAGCCGCTGTGTCTCACCACGGGGGGCGGCCTGGGCCCCAGAGGGACTGCAGAGATACCGATCCGCTGCTCCCCGGACCTCTCCCAGGCTGCGCTCGGACGAGGGTGTCGAGGAGAATCCGCCCGTGGCGACCAGGGCTCTCCAGGACGAGCAGCGGCAAGTTCGCTATCTCCTCCTCCCGCGGTATCGGTGTCTTCGGCTCTCGCAGAGAAGCCCTCAATGATGTGAGCCGGGTCGTGCAAACCGTCGCGACACAAGTGGAGTTGCTGACGCCCGGGACCCACCCACCCCAGGATTGTGAGCTCGCTGGCTTGGTCTCGTTGGGCCAGCACTGGCTCAGCCTCCCCTAGAAGAAGAGACATCGGCATCAACATAAACTTTTGGCGCACCGCGCGGAGTTCTTGGATCTGCGCCGGACCCCACTCCCTGACGCGCGGAGCGCGCCAGGGGCGGCGCCGGAGGCGCCGCCAGAGGGCCCCAGCGCGGATCCAAGAAATCCGCGCGGAGCGCAAAAAGTGTATGTTTGACTACCTACCAGACCACCCCAACCCAACCCGAAGACCCGAAACCCGAAGACCCGAATGTCGGGTTGGGGGGGGGTAAGGGCTCCACACGTGTTTTTTTCTATGGTTCCCGACCCCCCCCCACTGGAAATCGAGGGTAAATCTGAGCCCTCGGGTTGGGTTGGGGTGGTTTGTGGGTGGTGAATGTTTATGGCGCTGTGCATGATTTGACCACCCGAGGCGGGCAGGAACTGCATCCCTATAGCCACTGCGCCTCGGGCTCTTCTGGGGAAGGGGCGCCCCCAAACGGCCGAGGCGCCGTGGCTCTGGGAATCACAAGCTAGCCTTAAGTCGGGCCTGCCCCCCTACAGGGGGATTTTGGGGGAAAAATCACAAATACCCCCAAAATACTACAAAATAGTGAAAAATGGTGGAGAAAATAGTCCCCTGACTATTTTTGGTTGCACTATTTTTGAATATTCCCCCTGTAGAGGGACAGGCCCGACTTCAAGCTAGCCTCTCGGAGCCGGATCTGGATCCATATAGCCACTGCGCCTCTGGCCTCTGGGGGGCGGGCCCCCAGGCTCCAAGAAGACGCCGTGGACGTGGATGCGGACCTCGCCCGCGCCCGAGCCTGACAAGGCACGCATGCCGCTGTACTCACCAGACCTCTCCCAGGGCGCCTTCGCTGACCAGGATCTCGAGGATCATCTGACCGTGGCGACGAGAGCCTCTCAGGAGGATGCACCAGAAGCACCCCGAGGGGACAACCGTCCGCCTGAAGCAAAACGAGCTGAGAAGACTCCATCGGAGTCGTCGGTCTCGAAATCTGGAGGCCATCCGAAGCTCTCTTGGGGCCGTCCTGGGGCCCTCCAGAGCCGTTCTGGGGCCCTCTTGGGCCGTCTCGGGGCCCTCTGGCCGGCTGGCTCACCCAGGGGCAGGGGCCCGCCTGCCCGACGAAGCTGTTGGGGACGCCGCAGGCGCCACGGGCGCGGAGGGCGAGAGCGAGGGAAGAGGGCAGCGACATCGTTTGGTTCCCCCCTCTGCGATGCCACGGCGCCGTCGGCATGTCGGCGACGCCCGTCGCGCCGGCGAGGCGGCATCGGGCCTCAGGCCGTGCCGCCTCGCCGACGCGCCGGCGACGCTGCGCGACCAGGCGCGCACAGGGCTCGGCCACCACACCCGCCGAGGCCCTCGAGGCTCTCGGGCGCGGCGCTGGCTGCTCTGCGCACCCCTCCCCGCCCCCTCGGAGGCGAGGCCCTTCCCCGAGGGCGCCCAGGAGGCGAAGAGATAGAGAAAAACTTGCCGTCCTGCTCTGCTCACGACGCGATGCTGTCCGGGGGGGGGGGGAACATTGCAACGCCAGGATCTCAGGGCGTTCCTCCTCCGACCCCATTGCCACCGCCCAGGACCGGAGGGTTCCAAATGGGGTTTGGGGGGGAGGGGTTTTCCAGGGAGCCCCCCAGGGGCCCTGGAACCTCGTCAAAACAGGGACGAAGCTCCTGGGGGACCCCTCCTGGAAAACCCCCTCCCCAAAAACCCCCTTTGGACCCCCCCGGCAGGAAGCCGCCCACCACGCAGTAGCCCTCGCGCTCGAACCGCGCCCGGTGCGCGCCCGCGACCGGGGAGGCGCCCGCCAGGGCGGCCGGCGCCTCCCGCGGCATCCGGGGCGCGGCCCCCGCGGCGGAGGGCACGGGCGCCGCGAGCCCGGCCGTCTGCGAGAGGACGAGGCCAAAGCGAGGGAAAAAAACGACCGAGGAAACATGTTCCTGGCGTCGTCATGACTGGGTTTGTAATGGCACCTTCGGGAGGAGGAGGAGGAGGAGGAGGTGGAGGAGGAGGAGGAGGAACAGGAGGAGGAGGAGCAGGAGGAGGAGGAGGGGAGGATTGGAGGACGGGGGAGGAGGGGGGGAATGGTGGGGGGATGGGGGAGGAGGAGGAAGAGGAGGAGGAGGAGGAGGAGGAGGAGGAGGAGGAGGAGAGGAGAGGAGGAGGAGGAGGAGGCGGACGGCGGAGAGGAGGAGGAGGAGAGAGAAGGAGGAGGATGGAGGATGGAAGACGGGGAGGAGGTGGAGGAGGAGGGGAGGAGGATGAGGAGAAGAGGAGTTTGAGGAGGAGGAGGAGCAGGAGAGGAGGAGCAGGAGGAGGCGGAGGAGAAGGAGGAGGAGGCTGGGCATCGTGGGAGAAGGAGGAGGAGGAGGAGGAGGAGGAGGAGGAGGAGGAGAAGGAGGATCGATCGACACCTCTGGGAGCAACGGGTGAATCAATAGACACAGATTTGCTCTAGGACCGACCTAACGGCCGCGCTTTCGGGCCTCCAACCCGCCCACAACCTACAGGGCTTGAAGAACCCTAGATTTCGACGCTACACAGGAAACCCCCGGAGACGGGCCGCCGAGCCAGAGAGGCTCAAGCCGAAACCAGGGTCACGGAACGAACGAACGATCCGAGCGCGTTTCAAACGGCCCAGGGGGAGAGGAGGACTCAGGAGGAGGAGGAGGAGGAGGAGGAGGACTCAGGAGGAGGAGGAGAGACGACGACTAGGGCGTGGCACACCTCGGGGCGTCCTGGCCTCACGCCGTGTACACCCCGTACTCGTACCAGTGGGAGTTGGGGAGGTACCCTCAGTCCCAGACTTCGTAGAAGTTGAAGGTCCGCTCGGCCACGACGGGGATGCAGTGGCAGCCGACAAAACTGAGCACATGTCGAAAGCAGGAGGAACTCCACCAACATCATAGACTTGACGAGCCACACCCAGAGGACCCACTGCATCAGCACAACTGGAAGCCCCATCAACCAGTCCCCGCAACCCAGAATCTCCAGTTGCAGGCCCCCGCATATCATCATATGATACCGCCACACAATCATGAGACACCGCTGTGAAGAGTCGTCCTCCTCCAGGCAGCTCTGCAGCACCCTCTCCAGGTGGTTCATCGGCGCAACTCCTATCTTGCGCACCGCCCCCAGCTGCACTAAGCAGTCGGCGAGCACATTTAGTGATTCGTGCATCGTCATCGTCACCTTGGCAGTCTCTGCCGCGTACGCGGTCGAGACCATCGCGAACGGGTAGGTCATCGCAGCCTCCTGGATCTCCATCTCCGCTACCCTGTCGCGGAAGGCGGCGAGCTTCTTGGCGTTGGCCACGCCGACGCTCTGGCCCGCCTCGACACAACCCTCGGTGAGACCCGCCAGCGCCGCCAGAGAGATGGCCCCGACCTCGGAGTTGTCGACCTCTTTGTCGCGGGCCCTGAGATCCCGGGCGTGCTCGACCCAGGCCCTGACGCGGGCCCTGCACTTGACGGTCGGCTGGGCGCTCTCGTGGATGAGGAGGGCCATCATGGTCGCCGCCTCGGTCTGTCTGGTGCGCATGGTCACATTCAACAACAACTTGACTACGATTGGCATCATCCTCTGAACCTCTTCCAACCCCATTTTGTCCAGGGGGGCAAGCTCTTCCTTCGGGATCTGTTTCGCTGGCTGTTTTCGCTGAGCACCTTTCTTGGCACGGCTGCCTTCCCCTGGTCCGTCGGCGCGGCGCCGCCGGCTGTCGACTGGCTTCTCCTCGGACGATCGCGGAGCAGGGGGCGCTACAAA